TTACCTGCATCTCCCTGTGGATCAAGGCAGGGAATAACACAAGACATCATATGTCATCAGTTAAAAAAGCATATAGAACCAATATATATAAAAAATCCATCAATAAATACTTTACACATCACAATTTCTAAATATCTGGATAAGCCTGCCAAAAGAAACTAGTCTTTGCTGCTGATTTAAACTTAGATAGTGTCTTGAGCTGACAAATTTCTTCTGGTAGGTCATTTAATCATTCCACCATTACTGCCAGACTGACATGGAATATATGCACACTTGGAGGCGGAGTGGGAAAAAGTCATTACAGTACATGTGTCACACACACTGGTAGATGTAGGCAACTGCCCATGAGCATTAACATTTTCTTGCATGTAACTGATTTCTAGTTAGGATTCAGGCCTGGGTTTGACATAAACACTGCCTGGGTTAATCTGTAGAATGCCTTCTGTTGGATGAGAAAATGTAGGTGATGCTTGGTGAAGATTGCTTCACCTGGACAATTCTAGGGCTGGATGTTTGACTTACACTGTCCATGCTATTAATGTCATTAACAGTTAACATCTACATTAGCAAGCCATTTAACAATCTACATGAATGTTTTTGGGGTGTGTTGTCATCAGGTAGCTCTCCTTTCATTTTCATCTTCAGTAGGTGTGGTGGTTGAATGTGTAGAATTAGTAGCTGGCTGCAACCATGGGCTGGACAAGAGCCAATAAAGTGAGGTTCAATCAAGATAAGATTGAACTACTGTTACTGGATGGTTCTTTCCAGATGAGTGAGTGCTATTTCACTTGTTCTTGATGGAGTTGCGCTCTCCCTGAAGGAGTAGGTTCATAGCTTGTGACTTCTCCTAGATCCATTACTGATGACCTCAAGGCATGGAGTGCCTTAGAAACATAAGAAGCTTCTTCAAATTGAGGCAGATCACTGGTCAGTTGAGGTCACTATCAACTCTGATGGCAAGCAGGTCTCAAGAGTTTCAGACAGGATTCTTTCTTATCCATTCCTGGAGATCCATGGTGGCTCATCATGGAATCCCATCCATGTACTGATGAGGTTCTGACCCTGCTTAGATTAGCTTATGAAAGATAAGCTAAGGGAGCATAGATGGTATCTAACGCCTAGCAAAGTTGCTAAGATTTACAAAACAAATTCTAGTGAGTGCTGGAAATGTAAAGAGAAAGGTGGATCCTGGTTCCATATGTGGTGGAGATGTCCAAAACTGAAGGCTTACTGGAAAAAGATCCATATCACAATTGCAAAGATTTTGAAAGTCAATTACAAATTGAGACCAGAGATCTACCTATTGAATATGCTTAACAAAATTCCACCACAAATAGAGAGAAAATATTGGTGAATTCTACTTTACGTGATTATGGCTGCAAGGAATCTAGTGGCACAGGAGTTACTGACAATTGATAAATGGTTAATGAAGTTAGCAGAAATGAAAGAAATGGATATTTTAACAGCCCGACTGAATCAGAGAGATGTAGAGATGACAGAGATAGAGTGGTTCCCAATAATTGAATTTTGCAATTGCAGGTGGGGTTAGGATTACAAGTACCAAAAAGTAAGAAATTGTAAACTAGAGGATTTATTTAGAAAGGAAGAAAAATTGCTGAAAGGAATGATAAATCCTGTGAGTATAATAAGGACAAGTGAACAGTAATGAGTAATAATAAGACTGAGAAAAATGTGGGTGAATAAAGGTGAATTACACAGGAGACAGGAGGTATTAATTTATATAATCACAATATTGTGAATTGAATGTGATTTTAAGACAAACATTGTTGATTTGAATTTTATAAAAATAAAGTTTTTTTTAAAAAAGATAAGATAAGATGTGTTCAGGATAGAAATACGTAATGGGATTTGTGTTAATAATGAAGGTTAAGGTGAAAGTTCCCATGGATTTCAATTCTTCTTGTGACTGAACATGTATCCATTAATTCCAGTGAGTCCTGAGTGCAACTAACTTGCTCAAAATCAAAAATATAATTTCTAATAGCGTTTTGTTTTTGTTGTTTTATTAACAAGTGCTCAGAGGAAAGGTAGCATCTCTACTGTTACATTTCCGGTTCTCGTGGAATAAAATTAGGTTGCTTAAGAACAGTTTTGCAACCATAATTAAATTTCTCCAACTAATAATTTTCAGCACTGTTTTGTCGCCATGTGCAGCGTGGGAAGCGTCTGCCTTGGTTCATTTAAGTGGATCTCAGGGATTCTCAAACACACTAAGTCATCTCTAACCCACAGGAGTCAATTTTAGCTTCCTGTTTATAGTGGACTACAAAAGGTATTTATGTTCACATGGTCAAAGACAGGTGCAGAACTATTAATTGGGAATGGCATCTCTCTCTCTCTCTCTCTCTCTCTCTCACACACACACACACATTTAAAAGTGGAGGTATTTAAAGACATCTTGAGAACTGAGAAGTTTGAAATCTTCCAAGACACAGTTTGTGGCCAGACCTAGGGAAAGCCTATTCTTCATGAGCAGGCCTTAGTCTGACCAATCCTTCCATCCTTCCTTTGGTGTGAAAGGATATGCCAGGGACATGATGGTTGTTCTGTTTGAGACCCTCCTGGGTGTTTCTCTTCCTGAATCCATGGGTCTCTTTGTTAGAGGACAGAGCTGTCCTGAACCCAAAAACTAGCTGGGTCTTTGCTGGTGTGCTGGCAGATACTATGTTTTGTATTGAACTAAGATTCAGCTGATTGAGTCAGTGCCTGCCTCTGGAAGGGACACAACATCTTGTCCTTTACCTTAGGCAAGAAAATGTCTTGAATTGACCTGACGTTTTGGCAGCATATGGTTGGTGTATGATATGGCTAAGAGAAGTTAAAATTAGAGTTTAACATAATGCTTGCCTACCCCATTTCTCAATTCTCTTATGGAAGTTTCCTCCTACACTGTCGCAATTGTGTCCCAGCAGAAAAGTGGCTCCAAACATGGGGTCCTCAGATGTTGTTGGACATCATCTCCCAGCCAGCATGCCCAAAGATACTCAGAGTTAAGGGCAACAGCATCCATGAAGCCAGATATGGAGACCACTGCTTTAGAGTTCATTTATAATTGCTATTCACTGACAGTTGAATGGCCATTTGAAGGGCTGTCCCAGGGAAGTCTTTGAAACCACAGGCATGGACTCCAGAATAGGGGTTAGTGGGGCTTAGACCCACCCAAGACTAATCTGGGGCTGAACCCCTCTAGCCCAAATGATTAGGCAAATTGGACCACCAGATTCCTATATAGCTGATCCTCCTAAAGAGTTATCAATCAGAGGTATACTAAATGATTAAGCACTCACAGTATAATACACCCCCCACTTTGTGTACAATAGTACACCTATTGTACTAGAGCTGTCCCAGTAATAACAAGGCTACCTGTAATCTGTCCCAGGAACATTTATTTAGGAGTAAGCTACACTGAACACAGATTGTGCTTGTAAGGATAAAGGATCTTCATAATATGAAGGATCTTCATATTTAAGGATGACTGAATGACAATGAATGGCAGCAGTCATTTCCTTTCCCCCTGACTGTTCCCTGCATCTGACTCTGTACACCTCAAGCCTGGTTGATATACATTTTTGGGTTTTTTTTCTGTGAGTATTAAGTGTGCGATGCTTTATCTTCTAAAATATCTCCACAGACCTAGTTAGTGGAGAGCGGGATGTGATGGGAGACTTAATAGCCACTTCTGCATTTATGTAAGAGGTTCTTACATATTTCTCCTTTTGCTTCATATATTAATTGTATTTTATAATTTACTCTATTTTATACTATTTCATATATTATTTTCTTGCTCTTTTTATGGTAGTCAGATTGTTTCCTGCTTCAGTTGGTTGTTATTGCTGCTATTTTAATGCTACATATTCAGTATTTTTCTCATTTTGTACAAACAATATATCTGCAAATAGCCAAAATTAATAACAACCTACCCACCAATGTTGAGGCCTTCCCTTAAAAACAATTCTGGGATCCCTGGCCACAGGACCTAACATGGTATGTGTATTAATAATGTTTTGGAGTAGATAACAATGGCTACACAGAGTAACTCTAATTTAAATAACCATATACTTTCATTAACTAGAAACCAGCTAGTGAAAAAAGGGATTTGTTCATGTTCTCCTATAAAACATAGGGAGAGAACTGAGATCACTCAGGGACACATATGTCAAGCATATGTAAAGCATTTGCTTTCCTATTTGCATGAATTATTGCATTTTATATTCATTATTTAAGACTATTAATCTATTGACCATTCTTAATGTTGCTCAGCCAGTAATTGCCTCTTGACCTGTACTGTATGGTAGATCCTGAGTATGTTTCTGTTTCTGTACAGTTTCTCAGCAGAATGTGTAATACTGTCTTTGGAAAGAGAAAGCCTGGGTTGTTGCCCTAAAGACACATAATAACAGTTTGTATAATAATAATAA